ACAATTTGCAATAAATATTTGACAATTCTTTATTTCACATTTTCAATGTCTTATTAAAATATACATGACAATTACCATCATAATAAATCATTTTCTACACGGTAAATTATATGTCTTAAAATTTTCAAAGAAGATGAAATCCTCCCAGGACTTAAAAACAGTTTCCTTTCAAGAAAGCGTAAGCACCAAATTGCTTAAGCCTGTAAAGGAAAAATAGTCTATGCTACTGTTTAAATCCTTGATGAACGTCATTCCTGGAGATTATAAGATTATTCCAGCATGGCTTCCCTTTTAAAAGCCTTAATTTCTCTTTAAATTCTCTATGGATAAATTCTAAAAAGTGCCTCAGTTTGGATTATAAACTTAGAATGGAGAACGAGTGAGCAAAAATTGTCAGATTCAGAAATCAGCCCTAAGCTACAAAAACACTGCACAGTAGTAACTGTGCTGGGGAAAGGTATGCCAATCATGCTATTGGTAACTTTGCTGTGATACGAGGGGAGATGAGCAAGGAACATGGCTAGACTGAACAATGGCTGGGTGGCGACTACAATTGAGCAGTTCAAGGGGCAGCTCTAGTGGAGTGGAAACAAGTGGAATCTGAAAGCTCAGGTTTGATTCCCAACTTGCTTGTTTACTAGCTGTATAACTTTCAAGAGGCCATTGGTTTCTCTGAACATCAGCTTCCTGGTCTGTAAAATGGGATTTTAATACCCATCCATCCTATCTCTCGCTACCTTTGCATACTACCAGATGTAATAATATGTGGCAGCCCTAGGTAAACCCTTGTGGTCCATACAGAGATAAGGTATCAGATGGTCTCTCTTGCGGAGCTATTTAATAAAACTCTATAATTAAATCATTCAAATCTTGTTCTATATAAAGCCAAGCAGCGAAGGCGGGGGTGTCTCCATGAATGAAAATTTCCCAGAATATCACAGTCTTTTCTAAAAGTAGTAGTGCATTGGATCAGATATTACACTGTGAATGATGGCTCATTCACACTATTTTACAAGGATTTCTTGTAAAAAGAGAGTCATGTGATTTACCAGAAGTGTTCCAGGCTACATAACGTTGAAGACAAGTCCTGAATTGAATTATAGCAGTGGGAGCCCACAGACTAGCATTGAGATTATAGACCCTTACGGTTTTGCTCACTTTACAAGACAACTGATCAATTTTCAACAAAATGTGTCTGCTTCCACTTTCCCCAAATAATATTCATTCCAGAAGTTCATTTCTTGGGAAGAGGGAAAGAAGAGGTGATCAAGCTTCGCAGATGATCCTGAATCCAAATCTATTCTTTATGACCAATGCAAGTCCCAAATTATAAAATATTTTTCGAGCTGCAAATGTTTGCGTTTAGAACGGAGGGATCATACCTCCTTTATGGAGGAGAAATCAGAAAGGTTAAAAGAGTAGGCAAAGTTAACGAGATCATGGTTAATTGTGAATTTTCACAGTTCCAGTGAAAATAATCCTAGTCTTTCATGAATTATTTTCTCGTACAAAGCAGTATGGTATTTAGTTATACTTTCCTACACCTACCCCATTCCCATGCCACCCATTTCAGAAAGTAAATCCGTAGTTTTTCTCCTGTAATATCTACCCTGCAAGCTGTTGTGATAGTTAGCATAAGTGGGAGCCTGTGTGAAGGTGTGGCAAGAGCAGCTGAATAGGTGTGAACCCTGCTGTTGTGAAAAGTAAAAGGACTCGTGCTTAAAGGGCCCAGATCCACTTTCACAGAGCAGGCAAAGAGCATGGATACATTTGGAACTGAGAGGCAATAAATCAAAAATAGCCACGTTTGCTGCTAAATTCCCATATCCTGGCACATATTAGGTGTTCAATAAATATTTGATGGAGGAATAAATTATTTACAGCATATAACCTAAGGGGAAACAATATGTTTGCTTTGCATGTCACTTTAAGATTGAAAGCCCCAAGCTTAGTTTCCAACCTGAATGCTGCTTTGGAGTCCCCCCCACACCCTGGCCCCCACCAAGGCCCAACAGTGAGGTAGGGATAAGACAAGCCCTCAAGTGACGTCACAGCTTTGCTCAACAGTTTGGGAGAACTGCAGTGAGAGAAGAGAAGACACTTTCTGTGTTGGGACCCCGGGCTGGGCTGTGGGTTGCTTCACTTGGCATCCTTCCGAGACATCCCTGTGAATTATGTAGAACTGCCACATGGTCAAAATGTGAAACATATCCAAGTGCTGTATTTTAAAATTGTACTCAATAAAAAATAAACAACCTTATTTCTCCAACCACTCTTCTGTTGACACAAACTGTCAAGAGAGATTAGGAAGAAAGGTCCCTAATACAAGTATTTGATACTTCCTAACAGAGCATAGTTTCCCCTTTGTCCACTGACCCTTTCAATAGCTCTTCAGGTTCTATTATCAGGATTCTCATTCCCTGTCCTGGGAAATAACTGCATAGCATTTCCATAAATATGGCCCAAATGATGCTAAAGCTTTCTGTATTGACACAGCATGGCTTTCACTCATTAATGCCGTCAACAAATATTTACTGAGCACCAAGTATGTGTCAGACATCATTCTAGGCATTTGGAGTGAGGCTGTGAACATAACCAGGTCCCTGTTCTCATGGAACTTGCTAACATTCTGGCCAGAACTGGTAACATAGAACCTCCTACAGAGGTGGGTAATTTAACAAACTATTGAAAAGCTCCAGTGGGAGCAAATAGCCAACCCTAGAATAGTTGCTGGTGTTCTTAGAAGATTCACTGTCCTAGTGTAGAAACTGTATCGCCCAAGACTTCTAATTTTTGGTTTCTGGGAATGTTTCAAAACAGTGCAGTCCAATGCAAATATGTGAGCGACATAAGGTAACTTAAAATTTTCTAGCATCTGGGTTAAAAAGGTAAAAAGAAAGAGACAAAATTAATTTTAGTAATATATTTTGTCTAACCAATTATATTCAAAATATTGGAATTTCAACGTGATATTATTATTAATTATTGCGCTATTTCACATTTTTTGTACTCACTCTTCAAAGTCGGTGTGTATGTGTACTTACAGAGCATCTCATTTTGGACTGGCCACATTTCAAGTACCAAAAAGCCATGTGTGTCTAGGTATTGGACAGAGGAAGGTCAGAAAACTGCCCATGGAGTCTTTCATTCTCTTATTTTGGGGATGGATGGGAAGATATATGCTGAATTGAAACATTCTGTGAACTCCAGTTCCAGGATTTTAGTAAACAAATTAGAGGAAGGTGAAGACCATCATAGCCGTCCTTAGAACCAGCCCTTCAAAGTGCCCAGCACAGAGAGAGGCCCATAGAATGTGCTAGGCTGTACAGTAAGTCATTGTTCGATTCGTCCACTGAGGCAAGGGATATCATTAAGAAGGGTTTTTCACGAATGCTGAGATATCTCGGCCAACGTCTCAAGTTAGAGTAAGCAAAAAACACTCATAAATACACATCCAAAACTCAGACCATTAGGTTAGCCAACCCCCGACTTTATCTGAATTCCTCCTGCCCGCTCCCCCGCGCCCCCCCCCCCATAAAAATGGTGAGAGGCAAGCTAGGAAAGTTGCGAGCCGAGCCGTGCAGCTTCCCCTTAAACCGGGGAGCTGCCCCCGGCTGGACGAGGACTAGGGGTGGATACACTGCCTGCCCCAGGCTATTCCTTCTTGCCATCAAGTCCACTCTCACCTCTTTAACCACTACCACAGGGATGTCCCTCCCTCAGGCTCTGCCCCCCGGACCGCCCCCACCTTTCCAGCCCTGGTTCCCCGCCGTGGCCGACCCGCCATCTCTCGTGCCCCGCGTGGCTTCCTGCCAGTTTCAACCGCGACAAACTCGACTTGCTCCTCCAAAAAGCGGGATAAATGAGGGGCGGTCTTCGTCCTTCTGATACGGGGGAGGGAGCATCTCGGGGCGTGGAGGGCAGTTTTCTTCTTTGTGCGGGGGGCCAGCACCTAGATGATACTGTTTTTGCGCGGAGCGACTGACAGTCTCTGGGGTGCAGGTGGCTCTCTCGACAAAGTTTCAGACCCCTGCCCCCCGGGCCTCCAGCCCCACCCCGAAACTCCAAGGTTACGCCCCCGCGACCCCGGGTCAGAGCGTCTTGGGGAGCTTGCATGCAGAGTTGCTCGGGGGAGGCGGTCCCGCTTCGGGGTTAAACTGCAATCACAGCTCCCTCTGGGCTCGGGGAGGCGCCCCACCCCCAGCCCCGCGTCCCCGCCCCTCACCCGGGTCAGCGTCTCGCAGCTCAGTCTTCGGCTCTAAACAAGAACAGGGGCCCGAATCCGCGTTCACACGGAAAATTATGCCGGCTCCGGCGGCGCGTAAAATTCATGTGAACCGAACGAAGTGGGATCGGCGTGATCCTCCCTTTCTTGTCTCAACAGGGGTTTCGCAGCGTTACACAAGGCCGAGCTTGTCTCTTTAAGGAGACATTGGACCCTAATTAGTCCGCATTCCTGGCGCGGCTCGGAGCAAGGGGCCGAGGGTGCTTGGGTTGGAGGGGAGCGGCTGGGAGGACGAGACTCGGAAGGAGATCTTCTGACTAGCCTCTAGTCTCACCGGCCCCCCCCCACCCTTTATTTTGCCGCCACCATCGCTACCAACACCCAGTTCTGAAGATGCAGCCAGGGCAGCAGCAACAGCAGCAGTAGTCACCGCTGCTCCCATGCCCACGTTACTTTGATTGACAGCCGAACAAATGTTTCCCAGGTTCGAACGCTCGCGCTAAGGAACTTCAGCCAAGGCGAAGCTCCGCCTTGGGCGGGCCATCTCCGCCCCGCCTCCGCTAACCCCGTCCTGTTCCATTCATTGGTCCGAGCCACCGACGACGCCCGGCCCCCACGTGGGTTCCAGCCTGGCCGGCTCCTCCCCGCTAGCTCGCCATTTGTCAGCAATGAAGTGATGGGCAGTAACACAGACGGCGATTAATGTTCAGCCATCTCTGATTGGTTGTTGGAGACGCCTACTGCGCCGGGGTGGGCGGGGCGCTTGAAAATCGCCCCAGAGCGGTCGCGTGGCCGGCCGGTGATTGTAGTCAATCTGGCCGAATCCTCAGCCGCGGTCGCCGGGGGTGGACTACATCTCCCGGGATGCTCCGCGGTCCCTCCACGGACGGTTGTGAATATGTATCAGAATGTTAATGATTAGCCGCTGCTAAATTTGGTCAAAGAAGTCACCTACACAGAGCGTGTTGTTAGAGCTGTTCTGAGCGGGTGTTTGAGCTGTTGGCTGCTTTCTTTCCCCTCTCTCACACACTTGTATATTATTTTGAGGTGCTGTTCGCAGAGTTTGAAAAGAGAGAGAATTAAAAAAAAAAAAGCCGCAAGCCTTCCACTCTCTTTTATTTTTATAATCCCCTTCAATTTGGGGTTAAAAAAAAGACGAGAAAACAGGAAGGAAGAAAAATAAGGAAATGAGATGTGGTAAAAGAAGCTAAAAGGTGCCTTTTAAAAGATCGTTGCTGTGAGGTGAAAAAAAATCTCCAGAGAAACCAAAAAGCACCGCCGAGACCTCTTCCGAACCAAAGGAGTTTGTGTTTGCTTTTAGGAAAGAAGAGAGAGATCATTCATTTGGAGGAATAACAACCAATTAAAAGGCAAATAAAAAAAGTTTGGAGTGGGACGCCGACCGAGCCAGCGAGCGAGCGGGTGGCGCTGCCGGCGGGCGCTGGGGCGCGGAGCTCTCACTCTCCCCGCCCGGGTGAGCGGCGCGGCCGCGGCGCCGGGCTCGGCGGGCACGCCTCGGCGGAGCGAACGTCGGAGCGTTGCCGCGGGAGACGCGCGCCGGACAATGCCCGCGGCGGGCCAGTGACGCCCGCGGGGAATGCGGAGCGGCCCGGCTTCCCGCACCCAGCCGCCGCCGCCGCCGCCGCGCGTTTCTGCCGCCCGCGTCACGCGAGACCCGGCGGGGGCCGGGACCGCCCGAGCCGCCCCTCGGACCCGGCCGGCCGCCTCCGCCACCGCCGCTTTCGCCTCCTCCTTCTCGGGGCCATTAAAGCCAATGAGCCGCGCGCCTCTGCCCAGCGCAGCCAACTAAATCGGTTTGGATGATTCGCGACCTGAGCAAGATGTACCCGCAGACCAGACACCCGGTGAGTGCGGGCGGCGGGGGCGCTGGCTCGCCCGGCGCCGGGGGATTCTCCGCGTCGCCTTCTGCGCGCCGAGTTGTGTCTTTGGCCGGAGGGGCGTGGAGGTCGGCCCGAACCCCGCGCCCCGCTCGGGGAGTCGCCCGCCACTCCTCCGCCTCCACTCCTCCCGGGCACTGGGGCACTTTCGGAGAGGGGGTGCGGAGAAGCAATTGAGTTGTAGCCATTTTCTTATTGTTGTCTTTGAAGCCCCTGGAAGCCGCGCGGAGCCGTTTGCTGTCCCCGCGCCGCGACTCCTGGAGGGGGGGGTGGCGAGCGATGGAGGAGGCGCGACTCCGTGCCGTGGCGGGGAGGGCGCCCTCGGCGGCGGCGCGGCGGGTCCGGCGGCGGCTCCTGAGTGCGGGACGCCGGCCCCTCGCGCCGCGGGCCCCGGGGATCAGCGAGCCAGCCGGCCTGCCGTGCCCCTTCCCCCGACCTGTCCGCGGCCCGACGCCATGGCGCGCGTCCCCCCGACGGGCCAGTTTCGATTCCGGGTGGGGAGACAGTGGGCGAGGCGCGCCGGCTCCTGGGCGCCCGCCGTTGACGTGGGAGGGGAGCGGGGTCTCGAACTTGCGGGGTCCGGGGGGGGGCACGGGGACGCGGGGGCCCGGGGCTAGCCCGCAAGCGGCTTCCGCCGGGCTGTGCGGCCGGGGGAGGGGGCGGGAGGAGAGTTTTAATCTGCCTGCGCCATGACCCCCCTCCTCCTCCCCCAGCGCCGCGTGGTTTTCTCTACATCTCTCCGCCTCGCTTGTGCTGTGGGCTAATCAAATATTTTATTGTTGTTCTTTAGGCACCGCATCAGCCTGCTCAACCCTTTAAATTTACAATTTCCGAGTCCTGTGATCGGATTAAGGAAGAGTTTCAGTTTTTACAGGCTCAATACCACAGGTAACGATATTGACTTTAGCTGATCCTCCTATTTGCTTAGCTCTTGTCTTCCCCCCACATACACACACAGCCCCCCTCCTTTTTTTTTTTTTTTTTGGCCACCACAAAGGTATTATCGTCTTTCCTTGTGGGCAGAAAAGGCAAGTCAAGGCCTCTTTTCTTCAGGCAGGTGTAAAGAAATTAAGCGTTTCGTCCTTTTCCTGTAAATTAAAAAAAAAAAAGGCCGAGCAATCGAAACTGGGGAGACTTGGAAAACGCTGAGGCCAAACTTTCGATATTGATTTATTGGGGCCAGGAGAATGGAAGGTTGGGAAGGTTCTGGGGCCTTTTGACTTCCTTGGTTCTTTATTAATTACAGCGGGCTTGATTCCTTCTTATTTCTTTCTGCCCTTCCGCTGAAATACCGAGAGCCCAGAACCGTGGGAAGTCGCCAAGTAGGCGATTTCATTACTTATATGCTGAAAAGATTTTTTCGTCTTAAGAGACAATCATTAGACCTTAGAGTGCCTTTGAAATATTTTTCTTTCGCTGGATTTTCAATGACGTGTAATTCTTACTTCATAAATGCTGGAACCAAAACAAGGCACTGAACCCCATTCACGCCTTGCCCCTGGGTGGTGGTATTCAACTTGTCTCTGTGTTTTGCAGGGAAAAAAATAAGACATCGTTCACAAGACATGCTTGATTCATATTTTTATTAATCTCTTCGTGGAACATTAAAGAAAAAAACTCCCTTGTGACAGTTTGGGGGACTTATTAGTGTTTGGAAATATAGGCATTACTGATATTTATTTCCTCGTTCTTAAGTGAATTTAGTGAATATTCATTTCTGGATGAGATTATGGAGTTAAATTGGCTAGAGGGTTTTTTCTTAAAACAAACAAAACCCACACATTTGATTCTTGTTGAAAGGGCAAGCCCAGGCTGGTTCCACTCACACTTTTCTCTCCTGCCTGTTTTTCAGTAATGAGGGTGGTATTTAAGATAGTTGATTTGGCGTTTTGTAGGTGATGATTTAGAGGAGGGAGTGTGTATTTGAAAGATGTAAGTCAAGATCTGCGTTGTACTTAGATTTCCTTATTTCTTGAACAGCCTGAAGCTGGAATGTGAGAAACTTGCCAGTGAGAAGACAGAGATGCAGCGGCATTATGTGATGGTAAGAAAACTGTATCACAGATTCAAAGTGCCTATTAGTTTGGGCTACCAAAGCAAGAATACGTTCAGATTGCTACTGGCTGCAGGATAGAGCACAGTCACGGTGCTAGTGCAGTTAAAGTTGTGAGAATGTGCCCATTAGCAACCTGTAATTCCAGGATGTTATAACTTGCCTCTGACAACCAGCTTTGATTTGAATTTTCAAAAACTTTAGCTGCATGGGGTATAATTTTCTGTGCTTTGTTTTTACAGATTGAAAAAACAACAACCTGATTGACATTTTGTTTAGTCACAGGCAAAATGTTTTTGTGTTGGTGGTTTTCTTTGTTGTTTTATTGCTCTTGCTGCAAACAATTTTAACCAGATAATTTTTCAGTAAACTGTTAAAATTTTAATGTATTTTATTTCTTTTAAAGAATAATGGGTAAGAAAAGACACCAGACATCTTTTCAAATTTTCCCTCCCTCCTCCTCCTGCCGCTCTGTGTGTTCCTAGTGTGTGTATTTGTGTGTTTTCAATTTCTATAGTGTTACATTGGTTTGAGGAGTGTTGTAGTCTCCTGTATAACTGATTTGTTCTGCCAGAATTTCTGTAATGCCAGTTATACTATATGTTTAAAACATTCAGATCTGCTTTTTCAGAAGTATTACCAAGTGTATTCTTATGTTTGTTCATAAAGGCTCCAGAGTAACTCATTCATTTCCTATCAAGCCTTTTTTCTTTGAATGTATGAACGTGAACAGTATGCTAAAAATGAGAAACGGAACTCTGAAGTAGCATCACCTTTTTGAACAGTTCTTGTCAAAGCGTCAGCATTTGTATGAGACACATTGTTTTTGTTATTTATTTGCCTGCTGTGCCTAGGAGTTGGAGTCCATAGGGTACCAAATTTTCATCAGACCTTCATGAGTCATCTGCTTGTGTTGTATAAAGACCACTGGAGATGTTAAGAATGCTATGTTTGAACTTGATTTTCTTAGTTTTGTGAGTTATTGTCTTAGATTCTGTGTGTTAAGGTGGCTTCTAGTTTATTAGGCTAAAGATAGCGGTAGAGTGTTCTTCCTGATGTAGCAACATTAATAGGACGGATATTTTGGTTTAGGTGAGGCTTTTAGGTTTGCTTGGGGACTCTTTGAACAAACTAGGGAAATTGATGAAAAGCATGAGATTAATTGCTTTTCTTTCTTTGACAGTATTATGAGATGTCCTATGGATTGAATATAGAAATGCACAAGCAGGTAAGCTATCATTTCTTTATAAGCATTTTAAATGACAGACAGTAATTCTGTGCACTTTAGAAAGGAAATTGTATGTTTTGCAGTTTTATTCTGCACATTTTTTTGTGGCTACCTGTATTTTACAAGACCATGTACTGGAGAGAATGCTATATTTTCAGGTGTGGTTCCCCATCTTTTTTGCATATTATCCTCATTTTAATCATTTAAGAATGTGATATAAAGTGAATGCATATTAAACTTTGTACACTTTCAAAAGCAGGATGCTAAAGTTTTAAAATATGTTTTTTTCTTTTGAAAGAATTTATGTATTTTGGGCATTGCAAACTTGTCTTATGAAAGCTTTTTTTGGAAAATATTAAGAAGTAAAATTGTAAATTGTGTGGAGTTTTCCTTGGATTGGTGTGAAAGAATGGATAGAGGGTGAGCTGGGAGGATCAAAATGAAATCTGTGGAGCTACAAAAGAAATTGATGTAAATTCCTTGTACTGGTCCCCTGAGGCTACTTACTTGGGTTTTACCAGGAACTGTAACTGTTCTTTCCAGAATTTGTACAGAATACATGAGCCTGATAGGAGGATGTGATAAGGTTCAACACTGGGTCTTGGGTCTTGAAATCTAGCAGTTAGTTCAGCCCAAAGGAAGAAAAAAGAAAGAAAAAAGATAATGATTAGTCAGAAAGCGTTGAGAGGTATGACTGAACCAGACTTTTTTTTGCAGGAGACTGAATAAAATGGTTTGGTTTAAGTTTCCTAGAAGGAAAAATAGCATATATGTATAAATATTGTTTGGCAATAATAATCCCTCTAGGAGGCATTTATTTTTAGTCATCTAGTGAAAGTGCTTCAGATCTGTCTTATCAACCATTTCAGAATAGTTGTGTTTATGTGTTTACCTGCTGGGAAAAGATGACGGAAAACTTAGTGCTTTTCATCTCTTATTTATACTCATGGTGGATGTCATTACCTTCTAAGTTTAAAAAATATGAAATGATCACATATTATTAGGCTCTTACTACTTATGGATTCCTTTTTGGATATGGTTAATTATCACATACCTGAAACATACTCAGATCTTTAAAAGATGACAGTTAGATAGTAAAAGCAATCAGACAGTATTTGAAAACAAAAAGTTGGAAAAACAAAAAAAAGGAGTCGTCACACTGAGGACTTTATTTCAGATACTTTTTTTTACTTCATGTGCTATTTGGTTATGTCAGTATTAACATTATAGTATCATTGGCCGCATGTTAAAATTCTTATTTTGGCATCCTTGCCATTTCTGTTTAGATAAGTAATGTAAATACCTCCTGCTTAAACAAAATCCATCAAACTTATGGATGGGCTCCCCTTAGTTCTACCTTATAGGAATAAGTTACATGAGAGATATTGTTTGTTAATTATCCTCAATATATGTCATTTTAGGTCTGGATCTTGTACATGTCTTTTTTTTTTTTTTTGTCTTCATCCACCACCCAATACTAATTAGTGTCTTTTTAAAGATTGGACCAGATGATTAATGTCCCTTTATTTCTTCTCCTGTATCTTATTATTTAACCATAACCACTTAGTTTTCAGATCTCCTTATACTGTTTACAGTTCTCAGAGACACAGAGCTTGTATGTATTTCTTTTAGGGGGCAGGGGACGGTATGTGATATCCCTTAATTTTACACATTTTATACTTCTGTAATTCTGTCATCTTCTTGTCCAGCTGGCCTCAAATGCCATCCATTTGAAATTGAGAATGGAGTACATTTTCCCTTTTTTTCTCTTGCTTTTAAATTCAATCATATCAAGAATCCTGAGGGCAGTTTATCACATTATGAAATACAGACAGCCCTGCAAACCACCTACTTATTATATTTTCTTTCTTTCCCCCCTTAAGCACAGAGGCATATCTGTCTTTATTTGTTTTCCTAGGCAGACAGCCTTGGTTCCTCTTGGCCTCTCTTCCAGATGCACTTGCTGGATACCCTCATAATGGAAAGCAGCAATAATGCAGGGAAGTTGCCCTGCGGCATAATTGGGCCTAGTTCTCAAGATCAGGTTAGGCTTATTCACTTATTAGATTTGTGTCTCTGAAGGGTTCAAGAGTAGGAGTCCCCGGAGTCCTTGGAAGTACCCTAGTAATTGGTGGCCCTGATATTTGAAACCTTTGTGTATTTTTTGGTTAATGCTTCTGTTCTTGGCTGCTGCCTGCCACAGAGTATTTATTTTTAGAGAAATTTTTCATTGGAACAGAAAATGATGGCTGTGATGGAGTCATGACTCTGTGACTTAGCAAATTGATAAAAGGACAGAAGCACAGAGCAGTGACAGGCAGGCTGGTCCCTCCCCTTTCTGTATGATACTCGTTGTCAGTCACCCTGTGCTGGTTCTGTTAGAGGACTATAAAGTGAAACCTATGGGGAATTTGTCATTCTGAAATGAAAGCTAATGTAATTAGTACCAATTAAAGTACATTCAGTAAATTGGATTTAATCTTAATTAAGCCTGCATAATGTTGCCAATTTTTAACAATTATGTTTGAGAACATAATTAATTTAAATTTTGGTAACTGAGTAAATAGCATTAGTCTGGTAGAATTAGTTGATTTTTTTTAAAGGGGAACTCAGTGACATGACATGGAATTAGAGCATAAAATATGAATATAATTTCTGATAATCTTTAGTAGGATCGATAGAGCTGAGCAGATAAAGCTGGGGAAAAACCCAGAAAGGTTAAAGTGGAGTGTTCTAGACTATAAAGTGAATTAATGCTTTGCCACTGTCTTAAGTTCTAGCATGAAAGTGAAGATGACAAATGGGACATGGTTAGAAATGGCACGCGTTTCATTGTGATATCTTCATAATGGGATTTTTTAAAATGAAAGAACATTGACCTTTATTCCTTAAGGATTTCCATCTAAGTTGGGTTTTTTTGTTTTTTGTTTTGGATGGGACAGGTGGCCCGTGGTTTAGTTGTTACTTTTTTTTTTTCCCCTCTGCTGATTGTTCTTTATAACTATAGTGTGGCTTCTAAATGGGTCAGTGACCGTGGGCAGAGCAGGGTGATGCATGCAGTTGATAACATCGCTAAGTGCTGCTTGTTCCCATCCTTCACTCGTAATGCTGTAATTAAAGAAGACTGCCCTGATTTAATTTGATTTAATCTGGCAGCGGCAGTTACCACTTTAAAAAGCGAATATTGGTTGTAGATTAGGAACAATGGGTATGCAAATTCGACCTATAAGTGTACGTATACAATTATTATTTTTTTTCAACTCAGAGCAAGAGAACTCCTGTTTCACTACAAGCCATGTAAATTTTATTATGAGACTTGGGCCACAACCATTTAAGTGCTGCTAAAATATTAATTGAATAGAAATGAAAGGGCCTTGCCAACTGACAGGATATCATAATCATAGCCTCTCTGGTCGATGGTAAATGATGATAAATGACATTAGGAACCTTTTAGCAAACTGTAATAACTACAGGGAGGGAAGCAGTATGGATTTGCATTATATCTGATACCCTCTAGTACCAAGTGGATTGCCAATACTGCTTGTTTAGCATTTTCTAAGGGCAATAGGATATTGATTTCTGACTTACAAGGAACAGCTCTATTTTCACCATTGAAAAGTATTGCAGGTTGTTAAGAAGAAATTGACTTGAAGAGGCCGACTGCTGCCCATCATGGAGCAAATAAAGCAAAACTGCCGAAGCATGGTGGAGCAGCGAGAGGGGCCCTCAGCAATTTGTTGCTATTAATTTACCATGCTCGACAGCAAATCAATCGGCATCTACTTCATCTGCTGGAGAAAATGCTGTCCAGGGCAGATAAAAGGCTCGGCATGGTACAGAGAATAGACTGGATTGGCCAAAAGGAGGCTCCAGTTAATGTGTAAATAAGTGAAATCAAGGCCACAGTTGCAGAGGAAGCTGTTGTTAATTAGGTTGGTGAACTATTTCAGAAAGCAGCCGAGGATTTGGAGAGTAAAAAGAGATTTATTGAGGTTGAAGTAATATATGACTGGCATGGCATTCCAGCCTTGAGTGTACTTGATTCTAGGGTGCAGTAAATTTATTTGGGGACAGTGCTTGCAGCGGAAGTCAATTTGTTTAGAGTTGTGTTTAGACCAGATTTCCCATAAGAAAACTTTTTTTTGGAGCATTACTAATTTCTTAGACATCTCTTGTCTTAGATGGTATATGCTTGGCTATGGAGGAGTAGATGTAGGAGTAGGTGTTTGAGAAGATAGGCAAAAAGGTGACTTGTATTCTTAGGCAGTGACTATTTTTTTCAGGAATGGATGTGATTGAACTCTTGTGTGATGATGAAAGTGAATTATCGAAGGTGGGAAGTTCTAGCTGAAAGTAACTAATAAACCAGTGAAAATTTTGCTGACAGAACTTTCTTTTGTTGTATAAAATTAGGAAATAATAATCTAGAGGGGCTGAACGGTGGTGGACACTGCTGGACTGGAAATTCTCAAAGAGAGATTACAAGTGAAATCTTGATGATTGTGCAAAAAACTCCAGATACAATTAGAGCATGGGGAGGGGGTTGTGTTTTTATTTGTTTTTCATTAAGGTTTAAAGCCACCCTTTCTAATTTAAGATTACTTATCCTTCAGTAGTATTCTGTAATTAACCAAATGGAGGTTATTGGTGGTAAATTTTCCCCTGCCTCTCTGATTTGAACATTTTGGGATGAGGGCCAACTTAAGTCCTATTTTGTAAGTCTAGATATATGTAGATTTTAATTAATTTTTTTCCAAAACAGAGGTTCTAGCATTAGGACAGTTGATACCAAGGGGCAGTGGCTTGGGCGGGACCCACGGAGCTGTCATTTTACATGTCACAGGACCTTCAGGAGAAGCGGATCTGGAGGAGGAAGTTTAACCTGTCAGGGCATGTGCATAATTAGGAGCATTTTCTGGATCACGTGGGTTTCCCCTTTTTCTCTTCTCGCATGTTGGGTTCTTAATTTTCTTTCTGAGGTTTTGTAGAATACCTGAAGA